TTAAGGTTTTTATTACGACCTTAATAAAAGGGGAATACTATGGTATCACAATATATCAGAATTTTTAATACATATCTTTTTAATATTATTCTAAGCCAGTGCTTAACTAAAACCCCACCTAATGGTAAGTGGTGATGTAGCCTATGATGGTGAAGCGTACTGGCTTTACAAAAGCCTATTCAATCTTGCCTTGAAGACAACCACACTGTAATCGGTTGGAAAAACAGATGCTGGAAACTTATTCCACTCCTTTACAGTATGCATGACAAACCGTTTGGTTGTTTAGAAAGTCAACAACGAAAGTATATAAACTGGTCGAATGGCTGGTTATACAATGGTGGAAAAGAGAGTAACGAATTCGTTTATGCAATTCCTCCACACGCTCTCCGAAATGCATTCTGTAGAAAACCGAAAGGCTGGCTACTTTGCGCCTTTGTTCGACGCTGGTAAGATCGGTTCTAACCAAATTCGGGTCACCAATAAGCCTCTTAGCATGTCTTTCTAATGAGTTCAGGGCTGCTGGGAGACATTTTGCAGCACCAACAATATTCCGAGCACGACCGCACTTGCGCTTTATATAAAGTAAGCAGCTGTCCCGGCGTGAAGTATCGCCGCAACTTTGCAAGCCTGGCTTCCTTGCAGCTGCTTTGGCTTCGGACTTAATGAACCGCTCGAAGTTCAGGTTTGAAGATACCTCAACACCCAACAACTGTAGGCGTTCGGTGTATTTCAGTGATACATTTCGGAAAGAAGGAGCCAAGGTGAGCTGGTTCTTTTTGCATTGAAGAGATATGCTTGTATATTAGAGGCGTTGAATCTCACAAAATTGTCATTGGCATTTAGTCAAGTTTAAAAAAGAGAAGAGGAAGGCAAGAACAGTGTGTTATATTGCACAAACCATTTCGACCCTCTTATAACTCAAAAAGTATTAGACTTACACCTTTGCAATCTTGGATATCCAGAATTCCAAATTTCATGGTAAATCCAATAAAGTTCTTGAGTTTCAAATGTCTGTAAACTACAATTTATATGACTCGCTGACTTGTTACGTTGACAACGTTAATCATAAGGCATGTTAAAAAGAAAATAATAAGATTTACAAATTATTTACATACGGCGTTGACAAAGTTATTGGTGAGTTCAGAAAAATAGTAAGTAACTTTGAAATGTAACGATTTAACCTTATTTTAAATATAATATCCTTAAACGTAATTTATTGACTACTAGATTATATATATATATATATATATATATATATATATATATATATATATATATATATATATGAGACCTCATGGAACCCTGAGTATTCAGAGTAGTCAAAATATCAACTCTTCCATATTACTCTCAAAGAACTTTAATTTTTTTATCATTTCAAGTGGTAGAGTCATGCTGCAGCTATATTAATTGTATAGTTGTAGCACACTCACGGGGAAGGACCACGCTCTCACAGAATACCAGCGTTAAATAGCAGCTTAATGCAGCGGAGACCCTTTTTACTGGAAAAGAGGAATTCCATCTTAGTTCTTAAGGCTGACAACGCATTTGCATTTTGATCCGCAAACGAATATGTAAAGATGTCTATGGGCTACAGTAACCCCTTACCATCAGGTGGACTGTGTGCTCACTTGTCACCCTTTTCCTATATAAAAAAAACAATTTGTTTTAAAGCTCAGAGAGAGGCTCAATGTAATACACCTGGAATTTAATGAGTGTTTTGTTTTAATAGTGATATTACAATAACATAACACATTGATATTTTAAGTTTTAAGCTGATATTAATTAAATATATAATTTAATGCGTTAATTTACAATTTTCAATAAGAAATAAAATCGGAATTTAATAAAAAAAAAATAATAAATTAATACTTAATTAAAAACATAGCTGGCCCATTGCCACCGCAGCTTACCGGTGTTACTGGGATTTACTAGTTCAGTTTTAAGTTACTCTACAGATTAGAGACATTTCAGATAAGAAAAATATACAGTTCGCTTCATAGTGATAAATTGTATATACTTAAAAATTAACAAGTATTAAAATACGCGGTACAAGAGAACAGCCTAGGAAAAGAACAACAAACAAAAAATCTCAGGATTTAAAGGAACAGACCATTACCGGGACGAGGGCCTGCTTTAACTTATAGAGATCGTAATTATCCCTAGTAAATAGAGGTATATTAAAAATTATAACTATCCTATTATCGGAGTAATAGTAGCCTGGTTTAATTATGTCATAGTATTCCCTAAGTTCTAATTGCACATGTTCGTTACCATAGATAGTAATTAAGCGTTGAATAACATGGTTTAAAATATCTTTACTAATCATAGAATGATGTAGTTGATGCGTGAATAAAACCTTTTCAACTCTAGTTAGCTCGATAAATATTTCGTCAATATTTTCAGTTATTCTAGCAAGATATTGAGCAAACTGAGCATATTTTATAAGGCTAAAGTCTCTACAACTATTGCTATCTAAAATTAACTGTAACGTTTTATTTATCTTTGACTGATTTTCGACTAACTTTTCTGACACATTAGAATGCTGGACCACCATTTTTTACTAAGACTTACTTGATTGTTAAATTCATTAAAATTACGTTACTATTTTGCTGAAGGATTTTAATTGCATTGTCATACTTTGTGGCTTCTAAATTATCTAAGTACCAGTAACGCTCTTTATTACTGAACTGAGTTCGTCTATGAGACCTCTCTTTATATTATTTCTTCTTTTCCTCTCTTTGTATTATTTTAATAGGAGCTGTGGTGGTACAGTTACTAGAGTATGTTAAACTCCAGTAACAACTAATACTACTTTATAAAACTACGTTTGTATGAGGATCACTGAAAGTTGGGAAGTTCATTTTTTGTCACAATAACTAACTGTGGTCAACTAGACTGAGGGCTTAATTGCCTCTAATACTGTTTTGAAAATGCCGAGTGCATCTTTAGAAATTTACGAAGTGGTATTCCTCCTTTTCTGCCTAGAATTCCATCCGGGACTGGAACTCCGTTTGCAAAAATGGGTACAAGGTTGGTAAAAGAAAGTTTACCCTTAGCCAGGCAGTACTTAGATAGTACTACTATACTACCAAATTAAATAATTTTTATACAAAAAATTACAATTCTTGTTTATTAATTATTAGTTAATTTTAAAGTTATTATAAGCTTTGTTAACAATATTTTATTGAGTTTAATTTTTATTAAATCACTCGCAACTGCTTTACGAGTAAAACGACGCTCTTCTCATTTGTCAATGTCTACTTTAAGCGAAGGCAAAATGTAATTCCATAAAGGCATTGGCTTTCTTTGTCATTCGTAGTTATTTTTTGAGTATAGCTGTCATCCACACCCTTGTTTTGATAAATGCTGTTGTTGAAATATTTAATCAAGTTAAAATAAAAATAAGGTTTGTTGCCTAAACACTGTTTCTTTATGTTTTGAACAAGAACCACAAATAATCTAAGGAAGCGTTTAATAGTAAATATCCTTTTCCGACCCTTATGTATATAGTTATGTTTAGTATCTTTGTACTCATATTATTTACTTTACAGAAGAATCGATGCTTTGCCTTCATTTGAACCGGATTTGGGTCTTTTTCTTAGAGTTACTAAACGTTACGACGGCAAATTAATGTATTCTAACTAGATAAAAATAAACATAATGATACTTAAAAATTATTTATTAAAATAAATGAAAGGGAAAGATACGGTACTTTGCCGCAAAAAGTTAATCACTAAAACTATGTCCATCCGAATCTCTATCATTTCGTTGCGAGTTGTAGAGCATGAGTCTACTGCTGATATCCTTAAATGGTCTTTTACCTGGAGAAAATAACTGTCTTGGTCCTTTTATTTTGAAGATTGAGAAAACCAAGTTATCAGCTATTATTGCAGTCCTAAATGTTACTATTGATCATACCTGAATCTTCATTAACCTCTCTAAATTAAAATCTAACTATCTTTATAAAGTCCTTTATTTAGTTTGAATAGGCTGCAGAAGAAATCATATATAAAAATATATCCCATTTACTATTTATTGACGGCTTTAACATTTTGATCGAAATAAATTTAAATCGCCTCGTGATGAGAGTTTTAATAATTATTAGGCCTTGAATCACCAGTGCTATATTAAGCAGATTAGAAACAGAAACAGAATGCAACTAAAATTAAGGTCCGATCCGCATAATACAATATTAAAATAACATTTACTTAGTACATTAATTACTCCAACAAGTTGATAAAAAAAACAAACACGTAAATAAAATATCAATTACTTCGCAACCTTCCGCTAACTAAATACAATGATGTGTCCTGCCTGGATTGAAGAGCACCTCCCGCCTCCCTCCAGTGATGTAGACTCTACGGCGGCTGGCCGCTAAGTGAGCGGCGAGCCGAAACAGCTGCTATTTATGCATAAATAGCGACGACGATAAGACGCTGTTTTTGGATTGGCTTGGAAATGTACCATGCGGCATACCGTTATTCCACAATGTCGTTTTGGGTGGCGACCTGAACGGTCGGACAGATACTCAGAGTTTGACTCTGTCTCTGGGAATATTAGTCCCGATACAGCAGGCAAGTCCGTCCAAGAGTGCTGGAAAACCATTCAGACAGCAATCACAAAGACGGCAAAGCAAGTCCTCGGCGTAGCGAAAGGGGGTCGTAAAATCGACAAAGAGACCTGGTAGTGGGACGCCACAGTCCAGGGTTCATTACGGAAGAAGAAAACGCTCTTCAAGACCTGAAGATCCAGAAACCACCCCCTTTCCCGTAACAATAGGCGTGCATCAGGGCTCCGTCTTAAGCCCCTATCTCTTCAGTGTGTTATTAAACGAACTGTCAGCCAGCGTACAGAAACTACCGCAGCCTTGGCTGCTTATGTACGCTGATAATATCGCACTAGTAGATGGGGACAACGGACGGCTCAAAAGACGCGTGCACGCATGGAGGGAGGCGCTTGAGAACGGCGGGCTGAAGCTAAACGTGGCAAAGACGGAGTATATGGCCTGTAACTGCACAGATCTGACGTCTCGCCGTATAAGCGACGACAACGTCGAGCGCTCGGACAACTTCAGGTACCTCGGATCTGTACTTGATGCGTCCATGGACATCGATCGCGACATCAAGACCCGTATGTCAGCGGCCTGGGCGAAATAGCGCGAGGTGACGGGTGTCATTTGTGACCCCAAAATGCCGGTCAAGCTGAAGGGACTAGTCTATAAGACCATCATAAGGCCTATCCTTACGTACGGCAGTGAGGCGTGGCCGGTGCTGGAGCAACACCGGCAGTTGTTGCATGTCACGGAGATGAACATGCTGCGGTGGATGTGCGGCGTCACGCGGAAAGACCATGTATGGAATACATACATCCGCGGCAGTCTCCATGTCCGTGACATTGCTGACAAGCTGCAGGAAAGTCGCCTCCGCTGGTACGGCCACGTCTTGCGACGACCGGCAAGCTACGTGGGAAACAAATGCCTGGACATGACCCTACCTGGTACCAGTAGTAGAAGACGGCCAAAGAAACGCTGGCTTGATGTTGTGCAGGATGACATGCGCGCCAATGGGCTAGTTGCGAGGGACGCCGAAGACCGGGCAAAGTGGAGGAGGAAGTGTAAGAAAGCGGACCCTGGGTTCACCCGCGTTGGGCGGGATGAGCAACCGAGATAAACGCTATATAGAAGAAGAAGAAGAAGACACCCGTTTACAAGGGTGGCGGCAAAAGGGATATTAATAATTATAGACATATGTCAGTGTTGTCAGTCATCGCTAAAAATATTAAAAAACTAAACAAGTCAACACTCTACCTATCCCGAAAAAATTTAATATATTGTTCAGTTCCTAATTCGGGTTTGAAGAGCGAAATCCACAGAATATGCCATCTCAGGATTATTCTATTCATATCATATCACATATCCATTAGTAGCTCATTTTTAGACCGTAGAGAAAAGTGTGTGATAGTTTTCCTGAATCCAAAATGGCTTCCGACGCTATTTCTATCTCCACCCTCATAAAAAATTGAGAATATTTACATTAAGGGCATACCATTAAAATTCCTTACTGATTATTTGAAGGACCGGAAAAGCGATAATTACACGAGTTCTAACATTAAAATTGAGTAAGGCGTGCCCCAAGGCAACGGAAGTAGGTCCTACATTATCCTTGATATACCTAAACGGATTAAATAATATCGAGATTGGAAGGGTATAATATGTATTCTCATATGCGGATGATACAGCCATTGTATTTATTGGTACTTCCTGGATCTTCGTTTTTGAAGCAGCGAAGCTTGGTCTCCATAAGGTTGCAACACGGCTAAAACTTACTAAAATTAATCTTATTATTTTGCCATCAATAAACGTTCACTCCCCCTTCCCACCACTACCAAAAATAATATCAAGGATTCACACCTGTGACTTCACTAATACCACAAAATTTGGGAGCGATGACATTGAACGTGTTTGATTCACTAAATACCTTGGAGTACCATAGATATCGAACATATAAATAAGTGGTCACTCACCGATTCCAAGATATAATATCGTAGCGCTAGTATAAATTATTTCCAGTTTTAATATACGCAAACTATACCACAATTTGTAAATATGCTAATCTAACTCCTGGGTTAGGATTTTAAATTTCACTAATGTACTATAGTATTTCTTTAACTGATATCAAGATTTGATATCGAAAGGCAAGATAGTTTTATAGTAATAAATATACTGTTTCATAAACAAAGTTACGCGCTAAAAATTGTTACCTATACTTATTCTATACGTTATCTTCACACACCTATATAACCCCTAGTGGTTCTTTAACCTATCCCAAGAATTGTTTTCGTATGACTAGACAGCTATAATTTGATACAGTAAATATATAAATATAATAATATATCTCACCTTAACCCACGCATACATAACTCACATGGACTCATAACATGCACTGATGTTACATTTACATCTCTAATGATTATCAATCGAACCCAAAATTCTATATAATAGAGATAGCTTGTTACAATGTAGGTAATAGAAATAATTCTAAATAGTTTTATGAACGGGCACAAAAGAACATAACCACAAATTATATTCATTCACACACCCACTCCTACTCTACAAACACATTAAACATACGCACTACACTTACACTATACACACTCTTCACACATACTTTATACTCATACCCTTAGTTAACATGTCATTATAATCCATGAAAAGAGCAGGACCAACGAATACAAGTATTTTTACGTGCTTCCTGGATGGTTCTGGCCATGGCTATTTTAATTTTATTATGCTGTTATGTAAAACATCATGAGAGGTTAGAGAGTCTACAGCTCCGTCATGAAGGGACCCAACTTGGATAAAACTACTTAAGTGTGGGTCAAACCAAGACCTACACAACACCGCTGTAAATAGCGACCCACCAAACAAACATCGCGTAGGTGCAATGCTGCAAAACGCAACAAGCATCAATATAACTATTACTTACGTCATCTCAAGATTCTCCGTACTATCTCAGCAGACATTCCCATCTGCACACCATCCAAATTGAATTGAGGGAATCGACAAGAAATACAAGATGCGTCGATCATGCATATCACACGTTCGACCTTTAAACTAGCAATTCTTATATATATATATATATATATAATATATATATATATATATATATATATATATATATATATATATATATATATATATATATATATATAAGAATTGCTAGTTTAAAGGTATAGGACTATATTTTTATTGTAATAAGTAACGGTGAAATTCAGGTTACTTAATAATAGGCTACAAATCGTTAAAATAAAATTATATTCGGCAACAAATCTAGCACAAAATCACATCATTTAACTTGAAATATAAACCGAAATCAATTTACTTAATTTTGCTACAGAACTTGAGACTTTTTATTGAAATATTTATAATCTTGCTTGTGAATTTTATAATAATTAGCATAATGTTTATAATTTTTAGGGCATCTTCATAATCATCTATTTAATTTTAAGTACGTATTAAAATTTAGCTTTCCTGTATTTTACAAATTTATTTGAAAATATCTCGAAGCTATCAATGCTGTCGCTATCGTCAATAATATTATCAGGCTTATTTTTTCTTTCCTCGTCATAACGATCTTCTAATATTTGGTCTTAGAAGCTTCTTTGCAATTCAGAAGGTAGTTTTAATTTTTTTTATAGAAGAGGGGGCAAACGAGCATACGGGTCACCTGATGTTAAGTGATTACCGCCGCCCATGATCAACCGCAACACCAGGGGAATTGCAGGTGCGTTGCCGGCCCTTTAGAAAGGAGTAAGCTCTTTTCTTGAAGGTCCCCAGGTCATATCGGTCCCGAAAAAACACCGGTGGTAAACTATTCCACAGAAAGGTTGTACGCGGAAGAAAACTCCTTTTGAAACGTACAGTGGTGGACCGCCAAGCATCCAGATGGTGTGGATGGTATCGGGACGTTTGCCGCGTAGTGCGTTCACGAAATTTGGCGGCTGGGATTAATCCGAACAATTCCTCAGAGCACTCTCCATGGTATATGCGGAAGGAAATGCAAAAAGATGCAACATCTCTTCGCAATGCCAGTAAATCGAGCCAATCGGAAAGCACTCGGTCGTCGACGATTCGAGCCGCTCTGCGCTGGATTCGGTCAAGTGGAAGGAGCTGGTACTGGGGAGCCCCAGCCCAGAGATGGGAACAGTATTCCATGTGCGGCCGAACCTGCGCCTTATAAAGTTGCAGGCGGTGTGCCGGCATGAAATACTGTCCCGCTCTGCTGAGCACGCCAAGCTTTTTAGAGGCCAATTTGGCCTTCCCTTCCAAGTGACCACGAAACTGCACGTCACTCGATATGTCGACGCCGAGGATTCCAATACTGGCTGAGGCAACAAGGGGAGTGCCTTGAAACCGAAGAGATACGACAAAGGGGTTCTTTTTAGCGGTTAACGCGCAAAATTGTGTTTTCTGGGGGTTAAACTGGACTCGATTTAGTCGCCCCCAATCCGAGACTCTGTTCAGCAAAGACTCGACTTCAGACACAAGTTTATTCCGGCGCTCGGAGACGTTTTCCCGAGAGATATTGGGTGTAAAGAGCATCACCAGTGCTGTCATCTGCATAGCAATGAATGTTACAGGTTTGCAACATATCATTTAAACCACCACAATGATTTAAAAACTTTACATACATGTTTTTTTATATAGGATAGTGAAAAAAACGAGCACACAATCCACCTGATGGTAAGTGGTTGCTGTGGCCCATAGACATCTACTAGGATAGATATCCTCGACTACGATTCAAAATGCAGATGCGTTGTCACCCGTGAGAACTAATATGGAATTCCTCATTGCTAGTTAAAAGGGTCTCCGGTTCTCTACACTCACCAAACGAAACACAGCAGCTTTAAGCTGCTATTTGACGCTGGTATTCCGTGAGGGCGTGGTCTTTCCCCGGTCGAGCCGAACAATTCGTGCTACAACTATACTTCTATTATAACTGCAGCGTGGCTCTACCACGTATCAAAAATGTTTTCAAAAAATTTATTGCTTCTTTTGTTGTGGTATATATCTTTTCTTTTTTAATTCTGTAAGACTTTTGTGTAGTAATATTTTCTATTTCAGAGATCCAAGTCCAGTAAAAGAAACCAATGGAATTGTCGAATTCCATGTATATGATACGTTTATTTTTACACTGTTCACATTTTCTAAATTGTGTTTAGTCATAAAAAACAATATCATATTTATTTATTTATTAGGTTCTCCAACAGTTATAACACAATACATTTAAATAAAAAAATACAAGTTCCAACATGTCTTAAGCTAAGTGCATAACTACTTATAGGGGAACACATCATGCGTTTAATAATGATAAGTTACCTCTATGTGAAAGAACAATCATTAAACCTATTTTAAGTAATTTTTTAATAAATTACAGAAGACATTTTTTGGTGACAAAGTTATAAGTTTTTGGTGACAAGGATATAAATTATATTGTATTTGTGCAGGGAACTATTTTAAATTAAGGGTGTCACCGAGGAAAACAAATCACCGTTAATATTAAGGGACACTATTAAATCTTAATCCTTGGTACTACATTTATTTTTTGTAATGATCAGTAAAAATATTTTAC